TAATAATATTTCACAATATTGCTGTTTTTACTGTATTTTGATTCAATAAATGCAGCCTTAAGCATAAAAAACTGTTATCGTTGTGGTTGCAATACCTGTGTTTGAACATAAGATGGCGCAGTTTTTCTGCTTCTTTGTGTTTAGCAGGACCATGGAGGTACACCACATCTGTGTGCAGAATCTGACCTGAGGAAAGAAAAAAAGGAAGAAGATATGTCAGGACAGCAGAGGACGTATGCGACAATATTTTATCTGGGCATCAACTTAACAATACATTAGCATCATGAAGATACTGTGGACCCCCATTTTTTTCCTCTTTGATTTTTCTGCACTCATCACCTTGTTCCCCTCTCCTCTCAGACAATACGGCTGCCGTTTTCTGTCAGCCTGAGAGAGGCAGTCTAATTGCAATAGACACCTCAAGAGCCCGGCAGGTCATGTGACTCCACACCCACAGACCTGTCACAGTCAAACTGGGTCTGCATGTGGTGCTGCTGCGGGGCAGAGGGCAAAACATGGCAATGCCACCTGACACACACCCGCCAGGCCGATCAGTCGCCTGGACGCAGGGCACACACAGGGCACAGCATGCCGCTCCTCCCACCGAGAGGCCACAACGGGCATTCTCATCACACCTGTCAATCAGACACTCTCCTTCATCAACTTTAAAAATATAGAAACTAAAAATAATTACAATTAACAGGCAAAAGTTATTTAACACTATGTTAGTCTACTTCAACATTAGTCTATATTTGGTTGATTACAAAATTTGAAAAAAAATCAAATTTACCATAATTATCCATTACTATAAGACACTTTCATTAGTTGACAGCCAAAAGAAAAACTAGAAAAATACCAAATTATTAAATAGTTATACAGTATTATAATGAAAAGTACTGTTACAATATTACATTAAAACATTAAGACAAAAAAAAGCTACTTTTATCTTTTTATCTTCCTTTTCGATTTATATTTTTAGTTATATGTCTATAGTTTTAAGTTTTAGTTATTGAGATTTAAATAAATAATAAAAGAATAAATAAGCTTTCCATTGATGTATGGTTTGTTAGGGAAGGACAATATTTGGCCGAGATACAACTATTTGAAAATCTGGAATCTAAGGGTGCAAAAAATGCGTAAATCTAATACTAATCAAGTTTTGATATATTTACAGTAGGAAATTTACAAAATATCTTCATGGAACATGATCTTTACTTAATATCCTTATGATTTTTGGCATAAAAGAAAAATCAATAATTTTGACCCATACAATGTTTTTTGGCTATCGCTACAAATATACCCCAGCGACTTAACACTGCTTTTGTGCTCCAGGGTCACATATGAAATCAAATACTTAACATGCGTCACTGTTGTATGCAATCAAGCAGGAGTGTTCTGAACAACTCCTGACTGTTTATCAATCACAGGAGCGATACTGCTGTTGGATAAAAATGTTGAGTAACATCGTCAAACTCTAATGTGCGGGGACCTGACGAAGACAGACAGAGACGCAACGAAAGAAACAAAACGACAACCAAGAATACAGAGAGCAAGAACAAAGCAAACAGGAACAACAGCAACCTTTACATACAACAACTGACAAAGCAACAAGGGCTATATACACATATATAGGCTAAAAATCTAACAAGACCCACTTCGGTGTTGGGTAAGTTACTCAAAAAAGTAATGCACTACAAATTAAATTACTAATTACTTCTTTACAATTTGAATTTGATTACATTACTGATTACTACATTTAAAAAGTAATCGGATTACTAATTACTTTACTGTCAAGTTACTTTCAAGTTTACTTTTCAAATGATCAAACCTAAAAAATACACTACAAAGTGAAACTCATAGGTCTTTCATTAATTTAATATTGACTGAAAAATTACACAAGTATTATTTGTATACGCTCGCAATATCAACAAAACTTAAAAACAAAGCAATAACTACAAAGAAGAATGCGATGCGACGCAGCTTAATCCAGCGGAGGATCTCATTCTGATTTGTCATTTATCTTTTACTTATATTAGTGTTATTGTGACATAAACTTGTACACCTTCACTTGTTGAACTTTTCCCAAATTATAATGCCAGACTAAAATATGTGAAATCGAGTGCAACATTTTGAAATATGATAGGCAACCTTTCATTGCATCTAAATGTTGTAGGACTCATCTGCATTTTAGCTCGCATTCTCTGGTGATTTATTAATGGGTATACTGACGCGCAAAACATGATTTTTACTTCTTATTTTTTAACACTGCATTTGTAACTTAAGTAACGTAATTTTATTGACATTAGTAAC